CAAAAAATATTTTGTCTGGGTTGGTTCAAAGGAATGACAGATCCTTTTCCTTCTATTATATTTCTTCTTTTTTTTCTTTGAACTTACATTTTCAAGCCTAATGACAGGGAGTAAGATCTCAGAAAACTCTGCTGCACTCTTTGAAGATGTTCAAAATGGGATTATTTTGCATCCTAAAATTATCCCTCCGTCCTGTGTCTCAAAGATATTCCTAAATATGGATTCTGGGTTTTTTTTCTGACTTCAATAAAATGTGTGGTCTTAATAAAATCTACGGTGGAAGTAGCCATTGATAGGTTTGATGAAGATGCTGTTCTGATAAATGGGTAAATGGTTTGTCAGGAATAGAAGTGGTAAACAGAATCTCTGTGTATTGAATCCTTACACCAATATTTTGGACATAGTATTGTCTATTAGGAAAAAAAAAAAAATGAAAGCAGCCCAAGGCAGTAAGATGGGAATTACATATCTCATTGGTGAGAAACAGTGTAATGCTTGGTGCTGTTCTTGTTGATTGACCTCTCATGTTGAATGAAGAAATATCCCAATTCCTGTTTCTATTTATTAGAATCTCATTTAAATCATATAAGTGTCGTTGTCATGATTTCCTTGCCTTTTCCGTTAAAGATTTAAAATGGGACATTGCCTTTTTTTTTTTTTTGGTGGGTGGGGTGGGGGGAAACAGGTGGGTTGGAGTTTCCAACCTATAGCTAATCCTACCTGCTTCTGTATATTAGTCCAGTGGAAAGCATCAGTTCAGCAAAGAGAGTGCAAAGCTGTCTGACAGACAGGAAAATACCCTATTGCCTTTAAAGTCAAATAAAGCTCTAAATAATCCTGTTTACTTTGCTGTAAACTTTATAGCTAAAATAATTTTCTGATGAAACTGCATTGCTACTGGCACATAGTTTATTTGCCATGGCAGGATCACTATTCTGTTCTAAAGAATCCATCCCTTTTCTGGGTCCTTAGTAAAGAGTCAGAAAAAAGTACTCTTGCTATATTCTAGATGTAGCCTGGTAGTTCAGCATGGTATAGTCTTCCTACTGAACAGATAACTGATTTCTCTAAAACTAATTTCAGGGGGTTTTGGCAATATGCAGCCTCTCCTAGTGACCATTGTTTACAGATTTTAGGTTGAACACTGTGGTATGAAATAATATTACACAGATATTTTATATTTTTAATGTATTTTGAAAACTGTCTGTTTGCTGCACAGGCAACACAGTAGCTAAACAAATATTTTTGCAGTAAGAAGATAATCCTGTGGAAGAGTTGAAGGTTTATTTGGCTCATCATACCTACAATCAGATTATTGTACTAGAGGCAAAAACTATTGACTAAAACACTTTGTCTCATTGTTTAATGAGTCTGTTCATATTGTTTACAATCTTAAAAGTTTTTTCTGGTCTTGATATCTGTGAAGATCTTAGCTTTGTTCTGGATATTGGGGCTGAAATGAACTGAAATCCTAAGCATATTTTAGTCATCCATTTAGAAGCAGGAGACTTAGAAACTCAAGAGAGCCTTCTTTTATTTTATCTGTGTATTTTTTCTCTTATTAGAGAGATTTTTGGGGCAAATAAATATTTTGGTACTTACTTTTTTTTGTTTAATTTGTAGTATAGCAGATTATATCCTATTCTAGTCAGATCCCATAAGAAAATTCAAATGCAAAACTTTGCCAAGAAAAAGTTAAGTTGCATGAGGGAGAGAAAGTTGCGAGCACTTCCTGTGCATTCTATTTAGCAGTTTACAATTAACTTTAGCAGACAGGGTTCATGAAATGTGCAAAATTAGAATGGACTTCACTGTAATTCATAAGAAACTTATCATATGTCAACTCTTGGTTATATCACTTAAAAGTAAAACAGTTTTGTAGGTATTTAATAAGAAAAGAAATTCTTCTTCTCCACTTGTATAAAACACATTCCCAAATTTTGCTAAGGAAAGAGAGCTGTATACATTTGTATATGTAGCTGAAAGAGCTTTGGGAAAGGGGAAATTTTTGTTAGTGCTGCTATTAGTGAATTTTGCTTTCTATTTTTGATGCATGAACAAATAACAACTGTTTCTATTCTCAGTAAGAGGGTAGGCCTGAAAGGGGTATCAGTTGTGAGACAGTGGATTTGAGTGTACCCTCAGCAAGAGTGCAGAGAACACCAAGCTGAGTGGTGCAGGTGGCATGCCTGAGGGGACAGGATGCCATCCAGCAGGACCTGGACAAGTTTGAGAAGAGGGTCTGTGGGAGCTTCCTCAGGCTCGACAAGGACAGGGTTCTGTGTCTGGCTTGGGGCCACCCCCAGAGCCAACACAGGCTGGGTGAGGAAGGGGTTGAGAGCAGCCCCTGCTGAGGGTTGGGCGTGCTTGTGGATGAAAAGCTGGACATGAGCCAGCAATGGGAATTTGCAGCCCAGAAAGCCAGTTGTGTGCTGGGCTGCATGCAAAGCAGCATGGGCAGCAGGGCAAGGGAGGAAATTCTACCTTCTTCTGCATTCTTGTGATCCCCCCACCTGCAGCTCTGTGTCCAGCTCTGGGGCTCTCAGCACAAAAAAGGGGATGCAAGACCTCTCCGTGAGGAAAGGCTGAGAGCTGGAGTTGTTAAGCCTGGAGGAAAAAGGAATTTGGGGACACCTTATTGTGGCCTGTCAGTGCCTGAAGGGAGCAGACCTTTTAACAGAACCTGCTGCAATAGAAGAAAGGGTAATGGTTTCAATATAACAGAGGGTTGTTTAGAATACAGTTAAGGAATTTTTTTACAATGAGCATGGTGAAACACTGGAGCAGGTTGCCCAGAGAGGTGATAGATGCCGCAGCCTTGGAAACATTCAAGATCAAACCAGACAGGCCTCTGAGAAACCTGATCTAAGTGCTCATTGCAGGGATGGTTGGGCAAGATGACCTTGAAAATTCCTCTCTACTCAAACTATTGTATGGTTCTGTGAAAATCCCATAAAATTAAATACATATAGGAATATAATAGGAGATCTGTTCATGCCTAGGAAATTTCAGGATACTGGAAAGAATTAACTTGCGGTGTAGTGATTAATTTGGCTTTTATAATTGAACGCCAGCCCTATTTTGTAGTTAAACTGTCCAAGCAAAAAAATGCAGAACTCCACCTATAATGATTTTCTTTCTCCACAAAAATCACATTGAACCCATAGTATTTTTCTTCTATCATTTGATGTCTCAGCTATTAAAATGTAACTTAACCCTTATAAGGTTTGGAGATAGAGGTTTTGTTGCTAACTTAGATGTTTCTCAGGTTTCTTTTTAAAACATAGCAATGGTTAACTTGGTCTTTTAGTTAGCTTCAGATGCAAAATATTTTAGAGGCAGAGTGTTTTTCACTCCAGCCATTTTTCATAAAAGTTTATAGGGAACCAAGTGAGGAAAGCAGCTGGATGAAAAAGCTGGAAGGTTTATGATTGCTAGTAAGGATCCTCTCCTTCCCTGTCTAACCACATCTCTTTGGATAGGAGTAGCAGCTGTGGGAACTCCTGGAAGTGGAACAGAAGGATGTGTCTTTCACAGTTTCAGCAATATGATCCAAAGTTATCATTCTCTAATTGCAAATGTGTCTGACATTTAGCATTATTAAGCTTCATTTTATTGCTTTTCATTTAGGTCCCTGAATCCATTTAGCAAGTTGTGATTAATTTTCAGAGTTACCCACAGTCAGTAATTAAAAAGAAACTTTGTATAATTGACAGGAGTGTACTTTAACACTACTTAGGAGTCTTAAAAAGGAAAAATATAAGAGCAAATATTTTATTTAACAACTTTCCAATACTACTGCAGGAAAAATGTCTTGATTTAAACACATCTTGCCACATGCACCTTTGTGCTTGAGGGGAACCTCTTATTCCAGTGAGGTGATGAAAGTTGTGACCAGGTTTATATATTTGCCAGGATCAGTATTTCCTTAAGTTTCTAGAAATAAAAAGTGGTTTCCTGCACTGGAGTTGGGTAAAATAGATGTCAATAAAGAGAATGTATGAGAAGAAGCTGCTCTGGACCTTCCTGTAACAGTTGCAATATCACATTACACAACTTTTATGTAACTCCTGGCTGTAGTCTCTAATAAAAAATATCCTTCATGCTTTACTTTAATTTTATAAGCTGTGCATATGTACAGTACAGAGTGTACTTTCATTCATATGCCAAAGGTCTGCAGCCAAATCATTTACTATCAGCCTAAGACTATTTTAATAATTTAAGCCCTTAATCTTCTTGATTGGTTTCTCTTACACACACACTCTTTGTCTTATTGACTTTTTAGTTGTCTGGGAACTGCTATGCACGCAATGTGATTTAAACATAAAAATGCTATTTCTTTGTGAAAATACTTTTAAAAATAGTGATATGTAATGTATTCCTATAGTTATAGACTGACGGAAAGAATTATAGTAAATTTGCCATTTTTAAGAGAAAAACTGTGATTTCTCTGTTTTCCTGCATGAGGTTTTTGAAATTAGAGTGGAGATAGGGAGCATTATTACTGTAAAAGATTTTACGTCATTAAGATTTACCAAATTTAATCAGGCATATACAGTCTACTTTATCCAGGTTATCAGATCTCTTGCCCATGATCTGTTATCTTTCACTAAGCAACGTGGGAGCTTGCAGGACTGAGATATTTCAGACCTGCCTGTGTCTTTGACAGCCTGAAGGAGAAGGACATGTGCACTGCAACTGCCAACAGAAACCTCAGTGAGGTTTTTCCCCCTTAGCTTTCAGCCTGTTTGTCTCCTTCCATTGCTTCCTACATAAATTAACACTTCCTGGTGGGATAAACCTGTTATTAGGGAAATAAATTTAAAACAATTTGAAAAATACCTGTTAAGGATCCTTGAACAATTAAATATGGAAGAGCATTTCAAAGGTATTTGACATTTTGTATATTACCTGTGTTGATTTAATTGATCACTGTCATTGTGATATGCAGTTACAACTTCAATTATTCTTTACTATAACTTTGTTTTCTTTTACTGCAGGTTTAAGATTTTTAAGAGCCCTTAGACTGATACAGTTTTCAGAAATCTTGCAGTTTCTGAATATACTTAAAACAAGGTAAGACTTTTTCGTACATGCTGATTTAGCTGCATTGGTGACAGAATGTAAATGGCTTTGATTTGGGGTCCATATAACATATGATTTTCTTTTCTGGAAAAAAACCCCACTTGTTATCTGTTCTTTAAACCTTCTTCTGCTGATGAATGATTTGTCAGTGACAGCATCTTTTGCTATGTGATCATTTTAATTGATGCACTGTTATATTTGAAATACCAAGCAAGGTTATGTGTTGATAAATGAAAAGCAGAATGAATTACATAGCTTTGTACAGATTAAACATTGCTTCTTTTCATGTAGTCAGTTGTACTGTCTTGAAAAAACTGAAATCAAAATTCATTCAAAAGAATACAGTTAAAAATTATTTTGAGTAATTCTCATTGTGGTTCTTCCAGTTTTTTTGAACTGAGAATCTTTTTTCACATCAAAAACATTAAATTTACACTGAGCTATCTTTATATTGCATTCATTATCCTTAGATTTTCTTCCATATAATAATTAAAATACTCCAATTAACCTTCTGGCTTACTGGTTCTTTGGCCTATTAATAGGCCAATACATCAATGTTGTGCAGGAAAAGCACAATTTTGGAGAAAAGATCATTTTGAAGGAAATAAAGAGAAACCATCCCATGCCTTGCAGTTGAAGTCACATTGTTTGTCACCGTTGTCTAAAATGCTCTGGGGGAAGTATTGAACCCATCTTCCAATAATTACTGTAAAATCAATTCCATTTGGAAAACTTCCCCTCTCTGCACCAGTTGCTATAGATGTGTGAGGGCTTTATATGTCCTCACATAAATCCATTTCTTGCTGTGATAATTTGTATCAATGGGAAAATAGGTACTGAAATTTGTAAACATTCACAGTAAACAGCTGTTTCTTCAACCCTTAACCTTGAAACTATTCTCTATACTGTAAAGCTCTCACACTATCTGAATTTAGTTGTGTTACTGGAAGGAAGCCAATTCTGGTCAAACAAAGACATCAAAGAATGTAAGGTGAACTCCCATAGCTCAGAATCCTCAGTATGGGAAAGGAGAATAAGACTTAACATGCAGAACAGCCCTGCCATGGCATTCAGAAATGGCATTTAGTGGAGAAGCCCCATAAACTCAAAGATTTTGGATAAAAGCTAATAACCCCTTCATTAGTGGGGGATTTGTGAAATTCCAGATCCATAAATGTGCATTAATCACATTCAAGGTACTCAGAGCTGGTTTATTTAAGACTGACCTGTCCACTGAAATAGCCTTTTTCTGCAGAATTTACTCTTACATTAGATATCGTAATCTCTGTGATTATTTATACGCCTGTCAAAATATCTATAAACCTCAAATGTTGATTAGTGAAAGCCTGTAAAGCAAAACTTTCTTTTATGACAGTTTCAGTTTAGTCAGTTAATTCATCCTTAGCAGGTCATCACTAACATTATTTAACTAAAAAATTGTCACTGCCCCAAAATAGTTTTTTATGTCTCTCCCAGTTCCTGGTAAAGTAGCAGAAAGTCATGTCTGCTCTCTTTATTGTCTTACTCATAACCTGAAATGACCTGAATAATTTGGAATGTCAGCAATGTTCACAAAACTTTTTTTTTTTTAATGGATGTGTCAAATTAAAACAAATTAACAGAATGCAATTTGTTTTAAAAGTTTCTAGTTACACCTGACTTAAATTTTATTGTGGAAGTGCTTGGGGTTTCTTTTAATGTGTTACATAAGTTTAGCTTTTAGAAAGCAACAAGCTAGAAAATTCATTTATTACTGCTACCTTCAATGAGAAATTTTCATATTTTCAATGTGTTCTGAAGTACCATCAGAACTGCAGTTCATGTGCTGCACACACATTTTCCATTACAGTACCAGAATACTCTTTAATTGAGAGCTTCTGGTTCTGAATTATTTTGTTTCCTAAAAAAATAAAGTGTGCTGATCCCTTGTGATAGATGGAGAATCTTTAAAAATTTTGTACAAGTTAGAGCAGTAAAACTAGTAGTCTCAACAAATCTAGTATTATTTAAATAAAATTTGCTTCCCTAAATTCAATCAATGATTTCAATTGCATACTGTGGCCTTAGAAATTTGTTATTACTTTAAAGTCTTCTATGGTATTGTATGCTTTTGGCTCCCTACTGCAGTGTTGTTTTGTTCAGGAATGGTTAAAAATCTTCTAGAATTAAGATATTTTAGCATTTTTTTGCAATCCACTTCTAAGTTTTTATTGAAATTTTAAGAATTTTGTGAGCATAAAGACCAAGAGTCAGTGACAAAACTTGAACTGTTGAATTGGGATAGAAAATTTAGTGTATCATTACTAGCTCTGAAATTATAGTAGGGGAAAAAAAGTACTTTTTATTGTTTAAAAATTCAGCAAAAGAAAAGAGTTCTCTGTGTGAAGTGATATGTACTTATATGAAAAAGGTATGGAACGAATTTGACCTAGGCATTTCAGTGCATTTGGCATTAATAATACAAAACAACTGAGAAGATGAGAAACTGATAGGATATACTGGGCACTGCTGTGTTTTTAATATTTTTTTTGAAATTTCAGAGAAATTTTCTACTCCATTTCTCTTTTCTCCAGTAAAGAAAAACATTTACTGTAACCTGTAAATGAAAATTACTGCTGGAATTATTGACTGAGATATGAGGATCAAAGGAACATTATATTATTTACACAGTGAGCAGAAGGGCCATTCCAAAAACTGGAATCAAGTGAAAAAAGCTGCACAGTGCAAAACCAGAGGCAGTAAGGAGACTAGCAAAGTGTTAGGTGGTTATTAGAATATCTGAAAAGAAAACCTAAATGTATTTGAAAAGATCCTGTAAGACAAAACAAAATTTTAGAGTGACGTTTTAAAAGCCTGTACTCTGCCAAGGACCTGTTTGTTTCCCTAATTTGAAATTAAATGTATTTTATTCAAGATTTTTTGTTCCCATATTTTATGAAATTGAATTGTACAGTTTTCAGTTGAAAAATTTCTCTCCTTCATTGTTTTCTAATATTTTTCAAAAAATCTGCAGGGGCTTAGGCAGGGCTCACAGTAAGGGATTTTGCACAGATGTTGGAAAGAGCTTAAAGAGGGAGAAAATGTTTATGACTAATCCTTCATCTATATTTAGACTCTGGCAGAAACACAGGGAGTATTTCATAGAGGACAGACGAGGCACAGTGTTAATAAATCTTCAAAAATAAAATGTACCAAACAAGTCATGTAAATAGTTACTGTTAATGGGTGTTCCAGTGATATGAAGAGACCAAGAGACGCAGAATTTTTTATCAGGAACATCTCGTGTTCTAAGCTCAGGTGAAGGAAGATATTCAGCCTTTCTTAATGGAGCTTTGCATCAGCATCACTCCTAGGATTTTGTTTAATCTAGGAACCCATTGGTTAGGTTCCTGCGCTATAAATGTTACCATTAAGAAAATAGGGACTTTAATCAACCATAGTTTAAGAAAGAGAGAAATAGGGAATATATGTTGATGTTGGTGAACAGTAATGTCAAGACTGCTGATACAGTATTTTATTTTTGAGTACAGTATTCATTTCATCATCTGTCATATTACCCAGTCATATTCTATTTCTTGTACTCCCATATGTCTATTATCTGTACCTTAAAAATTCTTTTAAGGAACTGTACTGGTTAATTTTACAGGTAATTTTGTTCATAGAAGAATGCATTTTTATTGTCCTTAAAGTGATTATAAACAGAAACATCAATTCTACCACAAAATTACTACTGCTAACACTGGTAGTGAATTTTTCTCAATTTTTATATTTTTTTAATGTATTGCTTGAAGGGTAATTGTGGGATCTTTTCTGAGGTATTATACCTTCTTATAGATATTTTCAAAAGGAAGAATGGGTAAGATTGTTTAAACACAGTCATACAGGGACAGCAGTTCCTTGTGTTTGTGTTGAATATCCTTCTTATGATAGTGACTTTTCTGAGAAGAAAGGGGAGCAGGTTTTATTTGAATTTCTTCCAGAAGAAGTATGGTATTTTCCTGCTGAACTGAGGTCCTTGTTTCAAAATCCCTTCTGGCTAGAATAGGGCAAATACTACTTAGTGAGACTAAAAAGCATTTGCAGATTTTTTGGTGGGTTTAAAATATTTTTTGTCCTTTTTTTTAGAGAAAAATGTGAGTGTGAAGTATGAAATACTCTAATTTCATGTGAATTTTCCCTAAAGAGATCTATAGGAGCTCATGCAAGCAGAATAATATGGAAAATACTTAGGACTTTACACAGGAACTGTAAAATACCTTAGATTTTTAGTTTTGGAATCATAATTTTCTCATGGATTTTTTATGTATTTATATGTGAATAATTTTGAGTGTATAGCAGTGATAAATGAAGAGCTGAGTGTACTGAGAGGCAACCACATCATCTGTGAAAAAGCATTATTTATTTCTATTAGTTTGTTTTTAACTGCTGATGTAGCTAAGGTTTCTCTTTGTCTTTATGCTCTCATGTATTGGGACTTTCTTTTCAAGCTATCTAAATTATGAAAATGTGAACTCTCCAAAGGAAAAATAATAGATCTTATACATAAACTTTTGAATATGTTTTTTAGGAAGTCTTTCTTTTGGGAAGTAATCATCAGCTTCTTGAGTCTAAAGTTTGCAGTTGTATACAAGTACCTATAAAAAATATGTGACAAATTCTAGACTAAGCTCCTATTTGCTTTGTTTATTTCCAGCAATTCCATCAAGCTAGTGAATCTGTGCTCTATATTTATCAGCACGTGGCTGACAGCAGCTGGGTTCATACATTTGGTGAGTGCATTTCGGAACACTTCACTGGCTTTTTCTGCCGCCTCCCTGCTGCTCTGGGTGGCGCTGGGCAGAGTGCAGTAGAAGGCGGTGCGGTCCGTCCGTGTCCCCGAGCTCGGGTGGCTCGGAGCGGGGAGCGGCAGAGGGCGCTGCTCGCCCGGCAGCGCCCCGAGCGTGCGGCCGGTGCGGAGCCTCCCGCCGCAGCCGCTGCAAAACTGCGCCCAGCCATGCGGGAGTGCATCCCAACCCCTCCTTGTCTTGTGGTATCGGTCGTTTAATGCTCGCCCTTAAAAAGTTGCACAGAGATTTTGAGTGTTTCAATTTATTATGTATTTCTCATTCACGTAGAACCGTATTTTTACACTCTGGGCAAATGTAGCATTTCAATCTAGAAACAATACCCTTTTCTATTTTTGAGCCAACAGAGTACAACACCCCTTAAATATTACATCGAGACCAAGGGGATGTTATTTTCTAGGGCTTGGAATTTTTTTCCTTTGTTTTTCAATAGAAGCTTTTCTACTGTTGGAATACTCCAACTTTTTGCTATGGAACAAATTTTAGATGGCACACTCCTTTCCCACTGACAAATTTATAATTCTGTCTCAACAGTGGGTGGCTTTTTGAAAAAAGTATTAGCATTCCACTAAAGGTGCCAGTAATGCCTTCAATAGCTTCATAATATTTCAAAACAAAAACATTGAGGAGTATAATTGCATTAAAAGTGAAATTTATATTCTGAACACATTTTTTTTTAAAAGAACTTAACACACTACATGAGTAAGTTACATTATTTAGTGGTGCCTGGAAAAGATGCTTCCCATAAATGATCTGAATAGCAAGGCTGTATATATTGGCAAAAGAACTGTAGGGCTCTATTTGGCACAGGGTCAGGTTCTGTATTTGATGAAAATAAATCACAGGAAAGGATTCAGTGTTCGTGTCGTGCCAAATTATATATCTATATACACACACAGGCACGTGCATATATGGGTAGAGTTAATTTGGGGTTAATTAGAGTCAGTTATAATTAATATAATTCATTATATGCTTTCTTGTACATTGTAGGTGGAGAACTCAGGGGATCCATGGGAAAATTTCCAAAATAATCAACCGCTGACATACTGGGAATGTGTTTATTTGCTGATGGTTACAATGTCCACTGTTGGCTATGGAGATGTTTATGCAAAAACAACCCTTGGTCGCCTTTTCATGGTCTTCTTCATCCTTGGGGGATTGGTAAAAATTCTTCTTTATATTCCTCTTAATATTCCAGTTACCTTAAAACTTAATCCTGTATATCTCAATGTTGTAATTAAAGAAACAATAATATCTGGATTAGTGAACTAAAATTAATTATAAAACATTAAAGTATGTTTAATATGCATTCTTTCCTGTAGATAAATATTTCGGCAGAGCTTGTCAAATTAGTCCAGAATTAGAATTTTTCTAATCCATTGAAATGAGTAATGCATGTGAATACATGAAGTGCCTTAATATTTCAACATGCAATGTTATTTGTAGTCCTTTACTTCTTAGTGACTGATTGTAGAGCATTTTTGGGGGTTGCTATTGATATTTAAAGGCACTTTGCGGTTTCAGAAGTCCTACCCACCCTTCTGTGTTCCTTCCCAGAATTCCAACAAACACTGTGGCTTTGGACTGCCTTGAAGAGCAGCTTGCCTGATCCAGATGATGGCAAACCACATTCTATTTAATTTCAAACATCCTTTCATGTCATGTAGTACAATTTTAGCTCACAGTTTATCACATGACCATAACCGCTATCCTTTTATATAAACAATTTCTCATGTTCTTTGTCCTGTATGTAAATAGCACCCAAGTTAATATTTGTCTTGCCAACTTTTCCATTATTGTCAGTGCTAGTAATATTATTACACTTGTTGCAATGTTCTCTAAACTAGCCAAGTTTGTTTCAGTATGTACCCTGTGCAAGGTAAATGCTATGTGAATGTAATGTATATTGTGCCCCCACACACGTGCATAGTTACTTGACCCCATCCATTGGTTTCACATATACATACATCTCACAGAGGTGGTATGTATATATAAAATGCTATGAATGCCATATATTGGACTCACACAGATGTGTATGAGTGTTACATATATGCATTCTCATCTGTTTATTGACATGTGAAGACAAAGATCATGTCAAATGGCAGTAGCTCTTCGAAGTATCCAGCCACAAGGGAGCTGTTTGTTGGACAAAACATGGCAGAATAAGTTTTATTTTCTCCTCAAAGCCTTTTTTCTATCACATGTTATTCCAATCCTTCTAAACCCAAGAACTTTTGGAAAAGTTTTTTTGGGGGGCGGGGGGTGATTTTTTTGTTTCTTGATGGGGAAATAACCCATGATTTAATCTTGTTTTTGTTGTCTTTTAAATTTTTACAATGCGGGGAAGAGTCTGTATTTTAAAACAGAAATGTAACAGTAATGATAATACTTGGCTTTGGTTTTTTTTTAGTGGGGCTTGGATAGGTTTTTTTCCCCCTCCCCTCTTTAGGAATAAATAGACCTGTTTTTTGTGGTTAGATACCAGTTTGAAATAATTTTGTTCTTGTTTTGTTTTACATGTCCATTTTTCCTTTTTTGACCATTTTCTTTATTTATAAGGTGTGTACCTTCTCTAAAACCAACTTTTACATTGAGCCCTCTTGTTTTGCTTGATAAGAAATTTTTCATTTTTAAAAAATATTCTTTTTAAACAACTGCATAGATCGAATTCTTTTGCATTTTCAGATCTTAAAAATATATATCTTCTGAAAATATTCATCATCCCCCTTTCTTTGGCCTCTCTTTTTAGTCTTTTCTTCTGTCTCCTATCTTCTTCTTAGGCCATGTTTGCCAGCTACGTCCCTGAAATCATAGAGTTAATAGGAAACCGCAAGAAATATGGTGGTTCCTATAGTGCGGTTAGTGGAAGAAAGTAAGTATCCCAAGAGGCTCTGCTGCCTCTGCTGCAGTAGAACACTCTCTGCATGCCATTTTCTTTTTTTTTTTTTGTGTTTTTGTTTCATGCATGTAGGCAATGTTTGCTCGCTACGTGCCAGAAATTGCTGCTCTCATCCTTAATCGGAAGAAATACGGCGGAACTTTTAACTCAACCCGAGGCAGAAAGTAAGTCCAAAAAGACCAGGTGTGGTTGTGGGACTCTAAAGAGCCCCTGAAGGTGGTAACAGCTGACTCACAGCTTACAAGGCCGTGTTCTTTGACATCAGATGTTACCACTGGAGAGTTGTCACACTATAATTAGAGACCTGGGCTGTGCTATGGTACAAGTCACAACATTTTGTCCCTACGTCAAGAGAACCTGGATACCGCTCAGGCTGCACTGATATATCTTGTAAAAACTGCTGCTATTACATATGCAGTTCACTTCTGCAGCGAGGGTGAAGTTTCACCATTTTGGGCATCAGAATATCATGTTTGTCTCTTAACTAAGTGACAATGATAATTTGCATGATTTTCAGACAACTTCAGAAAACTCTGTTTTACTGGATGTAAAAAAGGAGATATATATTTACCAGTTTGTTTGGTTGGACTGACTATGTAAGAAGTCTAGTAGCCCTGTTTCTCAATGTTCAACCAGCAGATTCAGATCTCATGCAGTTTTTCTGATTTTCCATGGATATTGCAAACTCTCATAAGTTGAGAATCTGTGACCAGGGATTTTAAAGAATTTCTCTTCCCTGTATCACATTAAGTGTATCTGAAGAAGAGTAGGCAGTAGCCTTAACAAAGAGTATGGTAAAAAATCAAGCCTACTATTTTTGCCTGGTGGCAAAGTTTAAATTTTATTGGACCACATTGCATTTCTATTGAAAGCCTGCTTGTTTTTTTGACCAAGTTAAAACTAGCTCTCTCTGGCATTCCCAGCTCCTGGTTGTGCTGGGATAAAGCCTTGACTGAACTAGATATCATTGGCAATATAGAGAGATACAGCACAATATCACCTTTAGTGTTGCCATCCTTCATTTCATTACATGCCATTGTGACATCCACTGGTAGAGTATATTTGCCCTGAAAGTCCAGTCGTGTAGAGCCCTTTTCATACGATATAAATAAAGTACTGCAAGAAGTTTCTCTAATGAATTGCCCCTATTCTTACTTTAAGAAGATAATTTTTACTATGTTCCCTTCAAATCATTACCCATGCAACATTCTGTTGAAGTGGGTTATGGTTTTATCAAGTTATTTCTCCTCTCTGTGCAGCAGAAAGACTGTAAATGTCTCACAGAGCTAATTCTAGAGCACTGTTTTGTATCACTGTGTAGATAAATCAAAGTTTTAAAATTAGATATAACTTCTACTATTTTTCGTTCAATAATATTCAAGCAATTAGATAGTGAACTTCAATATGTGCATTTATTGAGATACCCTCAGATGTCTAAGGTAAACTGTAAACACTGATGTTGAAACTTACATCACTTACCTAGACAAACTAAATGCCTTGATTTATTTCTGGGAATGAGTAGTATTGTTAATTTCCCAAAATATTTATTTGTCACAGACACCAGGACAGTTTCATATTTATATTCATACTTGTTTTCTCAAAGAGAAGTGTTCCAAACTCAGAACGTATCCCTCTGTTTTCAAAGCTCTAAAGAAGTTACAGCAGAGGGGAATATGGTTAAAACCTGTTTTGCACACAGAGTTTGTCCCTTCCCTTCTACATTGTCACTAGTACCCAGCATTGCTCAGATGTCTCTAAATTTGGACCTGATCTTCAGTCACAAACCCACACCCTGAAAAGCTCAACTTCAGATTACAGGCTTCTGCTAGCTTTGGGGCGTGCTTAATTTTTTTTTTTTCACTTTTTGTTTTTGTCTTTCCTTATATGCATTGTCTATTTGTTTTTATCTCACTCTGTCGTCAGTGCTTTTTTTGCTGATCTTTACTGCTCATATAATTTGTTGCTTGAAACTCATCTCTGTCATCAGCATACAAACTGTTCAATTTACTTTATGCATTGTTTTCTGGTTCAATTATTAATTACTAAGTAGTTTAAAGATGTCCTGCTTATGTGGGTCTTTCATCAGAGAATCTAAGCTTGGGAACTGCACAGTAAAAAGCCATTAGGACCCCTTGTTTGATGTTGCTTTTGCAGTCAGTAGAACAAGATTGATGAAATGTTATGTTTGGCCAAAATTGAAGTTTTCATTTGGAATTCAGTGTTGAGAGAATAGATTGTCAGAACCAATAAGTTTTCCTTTGCTTGGGATATGGGCATGTGGTAGTAATTAGCAGTATAAGGTCTTTAGTTGAGCAACCAAGCATAGATTCTGGCAGCAAAAATAATGAGAAACTGCAGTTGTTCTATTTCTTATGTCAGAAAGTTTCCAGATTAAATGCATTTCCAATATGAAAACAGCTGAATTTTGGTGAAAGATATAGTTTCAGCCCTTGAAACAGCAAATGTGTGTACTTTTTAACTCAGTACAAAATAGATAAATGCATGGAATCTGCTTTGCTACATCTATATATATGTTTATACATTGTCGTGGTTTAACCCCAGCTAGCAACCATGCCAGGAAACAGCACAACATGTTGCCTCCTAAACTCAGTGTGTGTAATAACATGATTATTAAACATTTAGTCAGAAATTAAAACCAGAGTATGATTAGGTATGTTTTGAGTTTTGCACTAAGTGACTTTAATACTATGGAGAGCCTTGCTATGGATTGGTAACTATAAAGGAGCTAGAATGTGTGCATAAGAATTATTGATACAAACTTCACTAACTAAAGAAGAGAAGTAACAAATGTGAGCTCACATTTCATTTTGCTTTTCAGCCAATAAAGTCCCCAAAGGATCATAAACTATACAGGATTCATTTTGCATAATAAAGAACCTTATTTTTGTTTTAGATGAGACCCATACATAGAAACTTTGGAAATAAAAGTAGTTTGTAGACAGTTATCACTGGTTAACTTACAAGATAGTAGGTTCATTTAGTTGTGAAAGTCCACAGGGATTTTTTTAGATTTTAAATTGAGTTCTAATGTCTGCTTTGTAATATTACTGTAAGGAGACTTCTAAGAAACAGGAATGTCTTAATAGTTTTTGATTGAAGTTTCATCTTCAGCTATTAAATAAACAGCAGTGCTTACTGTTGCATTTATACCAAAATGTCTGTACCAATATATCTATACAAAATTTATTCTGTATTTACTTATTTACTTTTGAATCAAGATTGTTCCCATTCCATTTTTGTATTTGTGTGTGCATACAATCAGACTGGATTTTAATTCTGTGAAATATTTTCCAGTTGGAGATACTAATTTATTGTAAACCAGTGTGCACAAACCTCTAGAAAGCATATGAAAAGAGCATTTGTAAACTGATGAACTCAGCCTGATTTTTTCAGTCTTTACACTGAATTAATGACTTCTAATTCCATGGAAGAAAATTATTTTGTCTTTTTTATGCCATACTACTATCAAATCCAATGCAAAGTCTTTATGAGGGCAGAAAGTAGAACACAGCTTTGCGTGAGTAGAGAGAGAGAGCAATGACCTGGCTGGGCAGGGAGGTTGGGCCATTGGAGCCACTGTGGTCCCCTCCAGCCTGACCCATTCTGTGGTTCTGGCTGTGTTTATATAAGCTGCTTGCTTTGTCAGCATAGTGGAGGTTTATGCTAGACTTCATTACAGATTCAAAAGATGTAAAAATAAATTATCCAAGGCATTACTGTAGTTAATATGTAAGATTAAAAAAGCATTTTGATGAAATTACAGTCCTTTACTGTATAAGGTATTATAACCTCCTCTTTCTCTTCTCTCATAATCTGCTCTGCTTCCCAGAGATTTCTACAGATTTCTTAAATTTACAAACCATAAATTACCAAATCATCAACATATCAACAGGAATAATCATCTGTTAGAAATTCCTTCCAGAAGGAAACATGGGATTCAATAACTAAACTTCACAGAGGAAAATAAAAACTGTAGACAGATAGATATGGTAAACAGAAAGACAAACAGATAATTTAAGTTGACAGGTCATATTGGACTCATTAGACATATGAATTTCATTACAAATTAGAAAAAAGAAAAGTTAAGGCTTAACCAAAGAAAAGGTCCATTTGCTGCAGTAATGAGAGGCATAGCTCCAAAGAAAGTGACATTAAATTCTTATATTAAATAATTTGATGCAATATGTAAGATATTATTTTTTCAGTGGGATGAGAATGTAATAAGAGAATGTGACATGGATTACATTATGGTCCCAGGGGTGTCTCTATTTCCCATCTGCTTACCATTCTTCTAATCCCACTTTTTCAAATGAAATTTCACTTAGTGATAAAGAAAATCTGATGAGTGTTAAATAGACTGACAGATAGAAGAAACAGGAGAAACTTCTTTATTTTCCAATTTTGTGTATATATGAAACGATATCCATTCTTTTGAAAGTAAGAAGGGAAATGTGGGAAATGACATATAAGAACATCATGACTTTAAAATGTGTATTTGAGGTCTCATACCATGTTCCATTCCTACAATAATAGCGCTTCTTTTATATTTTCAGTTGAAGTTTTAAAAGTTCCTTTTCTCTGCTTAAACTTTGAAAAAACCCTTTTGGATTTGGCATCAAATAGCAATAGTTGCTGTTCAAATTTTGACCCAAGAAAGACTGAATCTGGTTTATACATCTGCTGATCTACCATATTCTACAAACTGTACAGTACATGGCATTCCAGGCTGTGTAATGTGAGATGGCAGAAGTGATTAATTGTTCAGCAAGTTTTAGAGACTTCTTGCTTTCACTCAAGTTCTGTTGCAGAAAATTACTCATGACATTTTGGGATGATTTCTGTGGAGAGAAATGCACTGGCTCTGCTTATGGATAAAATGCTAAAAAATCTGAAGAACCTTTCTTAACTCCTGCATTGCTTACAATGGATTTAATTATTTTTTGACTCACTGAGCAGTTAAAAAACACATAAGGTGATTTGAAAATGATTAATAGTGGGAGAAAGCAATGTATTTAATATAAACTACTTTCAGTTGATTTCAGAAGTAAAAACAGGATGGCTTGTGTGTGTGATATCTGTCACACAAAATGTTACAAAAATGAAGTCCAGGTTTTGGAGGGATTAGAACAGTCAGTTAAGGTCTGTTTGCAAGTGAGGTGCTAATGCTGGAGGTGTAGATTACCCCTGCACTTCTCTGTAATCTTTGTGGTGTGGGCTCCTTGTGCATGCTGTTCAGCATGTTAGTTCTTCTATTTATAGTAAACTACTCTTGTCTTCTGGTGATAGATGTGTTGTGCCTGAATGTTGTGGTATTTTTCATAAAAGCAGAAATACTCTAAATAATATTGCCATTCACACTGAATGAAAGGATGAATATTCATACTTTAAGCTATGGTGGAAGCCTCCATTAATCCCGACCCTAGAAGAAACAAATTGCTGTGCTTTTATTTTATTATGGCTGATTTGGAGGTGTGCATCAAAGAAAGAATATTGACTTTTAAACTGGATTGTAGAGAAACTTGGCAAAATTCTTTAGATCATGATCATAGAAATGCAAGATAAATTCATCTAGCTGTAGTTGAGCAAAGTTTAAACAAACAAAGCAGCCTAGAGTGAGTTAAGTAGGACAGCATGCCATTGCAAACAGACTTAGATGAAAGCTCCAATGTGTAGTTTAAACAAAGAAATGTGCTATTTATCCTGGATTTAAGAAGCTGAAATGCACTCTTTTATTGGTCACAAAGTGACTTAATATTTGCATCAGAGAAAATTTCAAATTCATGACATTAACAATTTCCTGTTTGTGTTAATCTGATGTAGAATCTAGCAGGGTTCCACTGGTCTGTACTGTCCACCACATACTGAATGGAGCTTTTTGAGTGCTTCCCTTTCTCTGTTTCATGAATTAAGAGAGAATTCAAAGGCATGGAACCTGTTGGAAAGAATAGATATTTTTTGTCAGAATTAAGCTTAGCAGCTGCACAAATACACTTTGGTTCCTAAATAGGTGACAGTTGAAGCTATCGGGTCCAATTTACAGAAATTAAAGGTACTGAGATATGTTTTCACATACTTCAGTTACGTCTCTGCTGACAGTATGGCCATATGCTTGTATACTTTTAATGCTGACACATATTTTAGTGTCTGCAACACTTCTTAGTAACTGCAACGCTTTTGAGATTTTTAATCCTTCAAGAATAAATAATAAAAATCTACTTTTGGACAAACAGTTGTAGGAGAAGAAGATCTTAAACTTGCTTGATGGTCCATTTGCTGTATCCTTTAATATATTCTGCTTGTCTCCTTTGTACTAGGAGATTTATAGAGCCTGATGGGAGAATCAGATTGAGAAATTAGCTTACAGTTTAATTATTTTTTTACTGTACACGTTGGCTACATAAGAGATCCTTATAGGACCATCATCCTTGGGCTCAAGTCTTCTGTGAAAAAGGAGAAACACTTTAGATTGTGGCTGCACAGCACTTACTACTCTGACAGAATTAATCTGAGAGGGGAGTTTATATTGAAATAAAGAGAAAGACACAGAAGCACACAAATGAATTTTGAGCTGAATTATCAGAATCCTGAGTAATGTTTTCAAATCATGAAAAGCACAACCGTCTAGAAATGTACTGTAAACTGATAAGTTTAAGAATGCATATCACCAATAGATAAACAAGCAGACTACATATAGATTCTCTGTTGACATTTATTGATTTTTTTTACATAAGAAAACATGACTGACATCCATAATTTCTTTGAGCAAAACCTGTTAGACTTCCAAGTTGCTGCATCAACCATAGCAGCCTGCTACTGGTATTAAGAGTTTCGATGGTCAGTGGATGAAGGAATGAGCAGAATGCGAAATACATGAAAAGGTCTGAGCATATGTATTTGATATAAATATCATAATTTTATAGAGGCATCTAGGTCAATATGCACCCCACTTCCTTTAGTTACAAGTGAATACCAAGTGTTCAACTGAATACTCAACAGAATTTTGTATTTAATATTGTTGATTTATTAGAACAGACTAGTTGGAGTGAGTTTTTTCAGGTTCTTTGTACTTATTCCAATAAAATGGATATTTCTTGCAAAATAAACAGGCAAAAGATTTGCCTTTTGTATTGTGTCCTCTGAAGGAAGAACCATACAAGATCCTTTTTAAAGAATCCCATTCAGAGTTGATCTGTTTTCATTTACAGTGCTATTTACATGGTTTAAGTGTATGTTCTCCATTATCTCATGTCAAAAATCTAGATGATTTAACTTTTGCTCATTTCATTGTTTTCCTTACTGAAACAGTTTGTCTCTGTAGTAGCTTTGGATTTTTTGTCTCCATTTTTGTTTACCTTATAAGAAGCTGGAGGATTTTTAGTAAATGGGTCATTATGTCAATACTAGGGTGGAAAAAAAATCATTACTGTAGAGAATTCCAATTATGTGGAATCACAGTTGAATCAACTGTGTACATCTGTGCCAGTTTTTCATATTTGAAATATTTTCATATTTTTTCATATTTCTCAAATTCATTTTGAGAATGCTAAATATATGTGGGAGAGGATGAATTAGCCTGTCTTTGTTGATAGAATATGGCTCCTGGTAAGCTTTTGATTCTTTGTTAAAGGTTTATTTTGCAGCATCACAATCATATAGTATGGATCCCCACTGGTACATTAAACCAGTTTTACATCTGATATGTGTACCAATGACAACTGCTACTTAACAAAAACTTTAGTCCTCCTAAATACCTATAATTAATAAAAATGTCTAATGTCTTTCAGTATGGCAAGGGACTTTATAGATTTTGTTTGTAAAGAATGAAAAAAAGAAATAATAGTAATGTACTAGTTCTGAGGTTTTTCAGAAAGAAAAGGTTAATGCTGAAGTTAGATATTTCGGTTGACCAAATGAACTGAATTCTGTGTCTTTCTACTAACCAACTCTTTTGCAGACAACAAAAGACATCCACTATGTGGATAGTGCATGAAAAAAAAGGGTGTTTAAAAAAAATTAAAAAGTGAATACAATGGTTACTAAAACAAACAGAGGAAGTTATAAATCTTCAAATCATACACCGAACAGATTGGACCATTATAAGTTCCAATATAAACTCTTCAAGTTTTCTTAAATAATATACCTAATAACTCTCTGTGGGCAAGTAGGAAATCTGTTTTCAATTTCTTTTACTTCTAAGCAAAAATATGACTTACGTTAAAGGAAGGTTTTTTTGCTGGGAGTTTTCAACCAAAAATGAATGCAAGTATCTTATCAGAAAATGTTATTTTAAAGCCAGGAGGTTTAGTTGCAGTCACTGTTCAGGACACTGACACGCACTGTATAAGAATAGCAAAGAGAAGAATAGATTCTGTCCTGCTCTGAATCAGAATACAAAAGGAAACCACAGTGCAGATGCCTTTTAAAACTCCAAAAACAATTAGTCCTGATACCCAAATGTGAAAGGTTTTGGTAGCCAAATTTTTTATTTTCACTGGAGCAGATTGCTGTGAGTCCCTACTCAGTGAGAATCATAACAGGATTGTACCAAATGCATCTGCTCTTAGCAGGAGCTTTTTGTAGCAAATAACCTCTACAGGTATCTGAGAGCATGAATTACCTTGTAATCTTTTGATAGTCTGGTAATTTCTTCGGCTATGCAATGTTTTAGGTTGCAGAGCCATACTTTTAAAATGTGGGCTCTAATTAATGACAGAAAAGAACCCATATTGAGTGAAATCAACCAGGGAGGTAATAAATTTTCTCCATTGGAATGCAGTGTATCAGAAGAGCATTCAGGAAGAGACCCAGCTAAAGCTAAGAGCACTGGATCTGTACAAAGGACTTCCCCTACAATCAGGAATTACTTCTGCTATCAAAAGCTATAAGCTATCCAGATGGAAAATTCAATTTCTTAATTAGGAATAGATGGAGACATTTGAAGAAAATAATACCCATAGTTTCAAATCAGTCCTCTTGGAAGACGTGCACAGGCAGTATAAGGAATACAAATTATTATTTTTAGATGCTGTTTATAGTTGCCCTGGGGCTTGGTAGGTTTTTGATGCTGTATGGGTTTATAGCCAGGAAAAGTCTGGAATACCACCAGATAGAAAGAACTTCCCTATATGTTAGTGTAATGTAGTGTACCAAACAGTCTCTTCAGAATTCACAAGTAAACTACTAAAGTTTAAAATATCTCTTCAGAATCTGAAGCTTCCTGAGGTTTTCCATTGCTGCTTTATGTATAACAATGCACTAAGTACACCTGTACACCTCTGGCAACTCAGGCAAGTGGCCTTCAGGGAGGCAGGGGCAGAGTCCTTCTGGTGAGGGCAGGGTAGTCTTGGTTCTCCCCTGTACCCAGCGTGCTGCAAACTCTGCCAGGCTGCAAACCTCCCAGAGGAACCTCCAGAGTATCCCTTGGCCCAAGGAGAAAGGCTGACCTGATATATATTTGGAATAGGATCTAGAGAAACATCAAGAAGAGACTAATGCTCTTTTTTCTCAATAGGTTGTCATTTCCATTTTTGCTTGCTTGCTTGTTTTACCTGCTTTGCAAGATTAACTCTGATTTTTCTATAACAGGCACATAGTTGTCTGTGGTCACATAACACTTGAAAGTGTGTCGAACTTCCTGAAGGACTTCCTGCACAAGGATAGGGATGATGTCAATGTAGAAATCGTCTTTCTGCATAAGTGAGTAATCTTTCAACTTTGGTCTTATCCTCTGTTACTAAAACTCATTAAGTTAAGCTGTATCTTCTGGGAAGACAGAGAATATTTAAAGCTCCAAATGACCTTAAGATTAATATTTGCATTTAAGTTTATTAAAAATATGTCTTGAGAAAAGTGTTTTTTTCCCTGCATTTTCCATAACCCCCTACTAAGTATATTTGTATTAAGCAGACAGACTTCAGACCCTGTTGTGTTGTCTGTGAGGTACATCGCTAAATGCATAGTTGAAGTGGGGATCAGGTTATGAAATGAAAAATACTGAAATGCAAATAAATAACATCAGAGATTTTTTTTTTCAGTAGTAAATATTCCTAGGGAAACAACCAAAATTAGTAGCATCAGTAAAACTAATGAAAAACACTTTATGTTGTACAAACTTATGGTATCTGAAAACACCTTCCCACCCTGGATCTCTCTAGGAAAGTGCTTATTTTAAAATGCAGACTATTTAGAAAATGAAAAATGTATGTGCAGATTCAGCTTTATTATAACAGATACTTTACAAATGTATGGACAATATACATTAAATTCTTGGCATGGTGATAATCAGTACTGCTCTTTATTCCGTTATATACACACGCATACACAGTATCTTGCCTTTTTCGTATGTGGAATTTGGAAAGGTGTCTTAATAAGGTTGATGTTTCTTTCAGGCTCTACATGATGTGTAAGTTAATAACAGTTTAATAACTAATACAATGCCAAATAACTAATACATTGCTGGCATTGTATTATTCCTCCCTTCTTCCTGGGGAGCAACTGCTACAGAAAGCCACGTGATAGGAGACAGTATCTTTTCTGTTCTGTAATGGCATCTGTTTGGAAGAGTTGCAAGTTATAAGTGTTATTTTTTTGCATTCAGCAATGCATTCTGCACTTGTTGTCAAAGAAAATTAGTAAAAACTTAAGGATATTATTTGTGATGATCTGACAGTGAAAGCTGATAACCAAGAATCAGTAGTACTTCCACAATTTTTTAATCTAGTCCTTTCAATTTGAACTAGAGATGATGTCCTGAAGTAACTACATAGTTTTTTTTTTATTCCCTCTCTATGTAATAACAAGTGGCTGTGAGAGGAAATGGGGGATCAAGATTTCCACAGTGAAAATGTGTGGTGATAGGAATCAGGAAACTGCACATTCACATGAAAGGAGTTTAGCACCATGCTACTTGTTTGTGCCAGTAGCGATTAAATTCCTTCTATTTTAATGAGTGGCACCAGAAAACATATTTACAAGGTTGGTGCCACGTTATATAACTGGCACCAACCTTGTAAATATGTATATATTGACTGTAATCCATTTAATTTTTATTTTGTTTCTGGCAAAATGAAATGAGACAGAAAGCCATGGCATCATTATATTTGTTTTAATTGTAGCTCATAGAGGCCTCAGGGTCCCTGTCTGGTTTCATTTTCTGATTTTTAGAGATCTTGCATTGAGCTGTTTTATTCAACAGAGTCAGCTGTTCTGGGAATGAATAGTAGGGACATGCAGAGGATGATTGTGGTACTATATAATTTCTGGGTAAAATGCTGGGAGAGGAGGTTTTCAAATGCTTGTACCCATACTTCTGGATTCACATCCCTTGGAAATGTACACATTGTGGAAATGTGGAGAGTAGCATGAGGTGGGCCAGAAGCACTGCAGCTACAAGTAAGGCAATGGTGTAGGCAATGTAGTGTTTATCTGTTAAGTAAGGCATGCTGCTTCCATGCCACAGAAAAAGCATCAGCAGAAGTGTGAACATCTAAAATAAATAAATAGATGGGTTTGTAAATGCAGGAAATGGAGTAGTTATGGAAATTAACCTCTCATTTCCTCTTGTGTTTTCTTCCTCTTTCCAATGCAGTATCTCCCCTAACCTTGAGCTGGAAGCTCTTTTTAAACGACACTTCACTCAGGTGGAATTTTATCAGGGTTCAGTCCTTAATCCCCATGACCTGGCAAGAGTAAAGGTAACAGCTCTATTGTTCTGTTCTGCTAATTGACCTTTTTATACATACTCCCTTCATTATTTGGAAAAACAACCAAACACTAAAGCCCTTCTTCATGTAACCCCAAAAGAATGTTTTTCCATCTCTATTATCTTAAGTAATAAATTATATCTATACTGGTGAACCTTTTTTTCCCATATATGTAGATCTTCAAAGCTACAGCAACAGTGACTTAAGATACATTGTCTGCCATTCCATGGAGCACTTTATGAAAATTTCATTGACGCTTCATTCAAAAGTGTATTTTACATTAATGTTTGATATAGCAAGATATTGTCTTACAGTAATTGCTTAAACTGTTGTTGTCTTAACTTATCAGAACAATTTAAAAATATTTTTTCACCCTCCAAACCCTTTTTGTATTGTCTAGAATCCAGAAAGAAAAATGCAAGTTAAGGTTTTTGGTAGACAAAGCTAGATAGTTTTGCTTATTGAGATATTTATTTTCTAGAATTTCTAATTGGTAAATTATTTCATTCTCTTAAAGCATGAAGTTTGAAGAAAAAGAAAATTAAAGAAAAATCAAGTTGTCAGATACATCATTAATTTTTTTGCTTCTTTTTCTCCCCAATGGAATGTAAACTGGCTACTTAAGTCAATAATATTTTATTAATATAGTGTAATTTGCACTTTCTGGAGTACTAATCATGTCTTTTGTCCATTTTGACTGCAGAAATTGCTTAAGATTTTTGTAAGCCAATGCACACTGTTTCAGTTCATCAGAGCATTTTATGATCATAAAATCATGTGTTCTTATTTTGTGTTCTGTATTCCACCCTTCTTTATGTTGATATTTGGTTGTATACACTGATAAATACTTTTGTCATCTGCTTTGAGTTCTGTAAAGCTCAGGTTTGTGTGAATCTAGAGGTCCTGTGGATAGATGAGCTGTCCTCCTGTTGCTTTCTAAACCTGGTGCTCAGATTCTAAATCAGTTCAGCCACCTCTTCCTGTCTTGAATAGGAAGGTTCCAGGGCTTGTGGGAGCACTGCAACAGGAACTTCCGATGGATCTACAAGTCTAAATTCCAATATCTGGTTACAAAAGATTAACATTACCACTGATACAGAGTTAGAGTCATCAGTTGAACTGCTGGCCTACTCTGATCATCACAAGAAAATTTCAAGAAATTCTCTGCGTACACGAGAGTGGCTGTAATCCCTGGCGTGAACTTGTGTTAGCCTAGAAACATTTTGGATTACCACCATTGAGAAGTGACACTCACACTCATGCAGCCAGTGCTGGATTCCCTGATAGTTTATGAGGAAGGAAGAGCTGGAGAGAGAAGTTGCTTTATATGTTTTCTTTTTCTTTGGTGTCTCAGATAGAGTCAGCAGATGCGTGCCTAATCCTTGCCAATAAATACTGCGCTGACCCAGATGCTGAAGATGCCTCCAATATTATGAGGTAAACTCTGTAGTTTTTAATAGCTTTTTGTTTCTTAACTTTGATTAGCTGATTTTATATCTGATCTGTTGCACTCAAAGAATACTGTAGGATAATTTTTTTTTTTAGAGGAGAAATGGAAAGATCCTCACCAATGTCCAGAGGTGAGAATACCTTAAATTCCTACCTCCATTGTTTCATCAGTCTGCTTTGCTATGTCAGAAGAGACACTTGGAGCACGGGCTTTGACACTGTTAGTCATTTTGCAGGAACTAGGGTTTGAGTATTCTGAGCTGAATGCAGGGAGGAAAGGGAATGCAGTCAGGTTGTTGCAACAATACATGCATGAGTGCATGCACTGCACGGGCTGTGTCAATGATGGGACAGAAGCAGCCTCAGTGCTTCATTCCTGCTGCTCCGTGGTGGACCTGCTCCTACAAATAAAGCACTGCTCAGGGCGTAGCAGAGTACACAAAGGAGTTGTCTCCTGTCCCCATCTTGCTTTTTTTACACTGAAGACCAATCATTGCTTGTTTTGATTGACAAGGCCTTTACAGCATTAGGGACCACCAGATCTCCTCCTGCTTTCCTCCTTGTAGTCTCTGAAGGGAGGAGATGAAACAGTCAGTCAGTAGATGGCAGCTAGAGTTACAACAAACCTAAGCCAATCCATTTTTTGTTTTGTTCATACAATCCTAGTTTTAGTGAGACCAGTCTCCTTTTAAAAATTAAAACTCAGAAATCTCAGTCAGTGATTGATTAAAAGTTCTCTAGAATTGGATTGGCCAGTGTTATAAACAGCTTTTACTGTCGGATGTTTGCATGCTGTGTATTGAAGGAAGGGGAGAAATAAAAAAATGCTACTAAAGTTGCTCTTCTGTAAAACTACCACTGTGTGCAAGAGATGTAGATATCTGAGAAAGACACAAGGCTGACATCTAGTTTCATTTTATAAACATAGTTTGAGTTGCAATGCAAGGAACTTTATTTTGACATTGATTGCATAAATACATTAAAAACATTCCAGTTGCAGATTGGTACATTCTTGGTAGATTTAATACATTTAAAGTAATAAAATGCAAAAATTTTATTGTGGGTGAGGAATTCTCTTGTGTTTTGTCACAATTTAATTTTAAAAAATTGAATGTTTAATTCAACAATTCATCAAGAAATGGAAAATAAGAAGAAAGACTTGTTTAAATAATGCAATTTCTTTACGTTTCCTGTTCTAGCTTTGATATGCTTAAAAGCACCAGCTAGACAGTCGTTTACAAGATACATTCTACAAAACATGAATGAAAACACTTATGGCATTCAGTCTTACGAAACTCATGATTCCATAATAAGTCAGATATTTTTTTCATTGTTTTATCTTCTTTTTCTACCTTTAGGTTTTAAATACAGGGCTTTTATTTTTTTTTTTGGTTGTTCATCTCTTTAATTTTGCTCAATGCTTTTTTTATAGTACAATATAAATTCATACATTTCTCAAACAATTTTCTTTCAAGCCACTTAAAATCTATACACAGTTGAGTAAATCTTGGATTCATTAAGTAATTTAGAATGCAGAAAATGTGCAGATTATGAAAGTAGCCCCATGTTTTATTAATTCAGTTATCAGTTTTTATATTGATCTTTGGATTAATCCATCAAAATTAAGATGAATTTGCATGTGCAACACAAAATCATTATTCAGCGTACTTAGATATTATGGATATCTTGCAGATATAAATAAGTAATATGTGATAGGGCAGAAGTTACTTTTTCAGGCATTTATCATTGGGAAACTTGATCAAGTATATTGGTTCAAAGACTTGAAGATAATCACTGAGGATGAGAATGATGTAACAGTTTCAACTGCATTACTTTCCTAAAGGAAGGAGTATCTGAATAGTCTCTTTTTCTGCAAACTCTATAAGGGCAAACCATTCAACTGAATACTTCCTGAGGCTTACTGCTCTCTAGTACTAGCCATTAGTTCTTACCTCACTTTGACTATGTGTAAATATTTCAAAGGTCTGGCATCAATCAGTTTGCTTTACAGACAGATGAATAAGGAGGTACAGTTTTAATTGTGGGACTTGACAACACAGTAAAATAGAGGTATTTCGATGCATTATCCAAGTAACCTGTCAGTTAAAAGTTATTTTAATAGGTTTTTCTTTTTCATTTTAGAGTTATTTCCATAAAGAATTATCATCCGAAGATAAGAATTATCACTCAGATGTTGCAGTACCACAATAAGGTAACGTGATGGCCAGTGTTTCTTCTCCAAGTTTTTTGCTACACTGCATTCACTCATACATAATTTTTCTAGTTCCAGTAACAGCAAGCATTTTTCTTTCCAAACTAAAACATCTTAATAAACCTTGTCATGTAATCCAGTTAAAAATTAATTTAGTTTTATTTATATATGCAAGGGACTTTATCAAAATCTTGACATTTATGAGTTGCTTAGGATCTAATTCTCAAAGCTACAGTGTCCATAGTTGTTATTGATGACCTTTCACCACTTCAGTTCTGTAAGTTCTGCTCTTATTGTCTTGCTGGAGGTTATTGTGATTTTTTTTTTTTATTCTGGTGAGACCATGTAGACCTGAAATTGCCAAGCAGGAGGTACAAAATAGATAAATTTGTGGTTTTTAATATAAAACATAGCCCAGTTGTGGGATTTGGTACTAAGAATATTGTGAAGTTCAAAATGATAAATCCACTTTGGAAAGAAATATGAAAAAATTTGTAATGGTAAATTTGTGACCCTTAAACACAATGAAGTCAGTTTATTCAGTCCTGAGATGAGGAAGTCCATAAACTGCTGACAAACAGGGTTAGGAAGGATATATCAGATAACACAGTACTCTTATGTGGCCTGCTTCTTTTATTAGCTCTGAATGAATCAACTACTGCCCAGTGTTTGAGAAAAAGTTTGACTGGGTAAACTTTCATTTGATGAAATACGCAATAAAGCTGGTACTAGGAAGGTTTGTAACAACTCCTTATACCTGTAACATGTTGCTAGAACAAGAGCAACTACTGTAATGTCCTATTCCTGTATGTTATGAAAGAAACCTTTTTATACAATAAAAGCAAGGTGTTTCTCTGCTTTAAACAGCCACAGAGGGGAAGTTTGTATTTTTTTTTTTTTTAAATACTCAGTTTGTTTGCTATTCCAATAGTTATGTCTTCAAGAATAGCTTTTATCAAAGTACTGAACTGTGGAATTAACTTAGGAAGGGAAACAAGGAGGAAAGACTCTGTGCTTCCTTGTATCTACAGAAACGTAAAAGTTGCATGTCAGAGAAAATCCAACAGTTATGCCAGTAACTGAGCAATATTTGTACTTATCTAAGTTATCAGTTTCAATACTGCAGGTATGTCTTGCTCAGTTATTTTCTTCATCCTGTCCTTATAAATAGTATTCTTAGAAAAAAAGGTTTGCTTTTTCACTGTCAGGTACTTTTCTTCAAGGTGGAAGAAATGAAATAGAAAAGATGATGTTGTATAAGAAGATGTATACATTTTAAAATTCTAGTATCCTTTAAAGGTTGCAGCTTCACATAGGTTGCAATATAAGTTGTATTAGCTTCTTGTATATTATGCGTGTTGCTCATCAGTCAGGCAGTAGCTCAAAGTGCTGTAAAAGGAACATGCAGAAGGGAAGGAAAGCTTTACAATATTCTGCTTGGTCAGGTGTGAGGATGGACCTGACAGAGTGCCAGAGCCAGCATACCTTGAGAAGTGTAGCATTTAATCTCCAGTAGGTAAGAGTGGAACATTTCGCAGTCCTGAAATAGAATTAAGCTCTGAAATATTTGAAGTGCTTCTGCCTACTCAGAAAAAATCAAGATATTAATAGAGAAAATAATTCAGAACTTCTGTTTCTGGTTCTTCACCTGTAGGATATTTTGTTTGTTTGTTTTCCAGGCCCATCTACTAAATATCCCAAGCTGGAACTGGAAAGAAGGGGATGATGCTATCTGTCTTGCTGAGCTGAAGCTGGGTTTTATAGCCCAGAGCTGCCTGGCACCAGGCCTTTCAACAATGTTAGCCAACCTCTTCTCTATGAGGTCATTCATAAAGGTAATGCCTTGTCTCATTAGAACATATTAGTCTGCAATTCAGGTTGTCAGAGACTGGAGTAGAGAACGTGACTCAAATGTGAAACAGATAGACAATAACAGATTTTGTAACACCAAAACAGCCAGCACACAGTTCCATGCAGAAGTTTTTTGCTGAATATTGGGCAATAAACCAGGTCCTATCAACTTGTGGGGTTTTTAAAAAATTTTTATTAAGCAAGTGTCTAGCCTTTAAAATATTTTCCAAATCGTCATCCATTTCCAGGGAGATATTTTTAGCATTTTGTGTTTCAGCTTGATTTTAGACAAACCACATGTTTGTCTATTAGAAAAGTTGCTGCTGCTAAAACAAAAATATGATTTATCTAAGTCCCACGTAGCAACAAAGTGCCAAAAAAAAAGGGATTGGTCATTTTCGTTTTTTACATCAAAAGACCAGTGGACCTCTGACTGTGAGTAAATAAGGAACATGTGTTAGAGCTGTGGCCCAACTTCCCACAAGATCATTCATGTGCTTGCTTTTCCTTGGTCTAAGAGCTGTTTCAGACTTAGATTGCAAAACTGTAACCCAGTTAGACTTCTGTGGCAGCTGCACTGGTTCACTGGACCAAGGCCTCAATTGCAGCAATCATTGCATCCTTCCTGGTGCTTCTCAGGGACACTGATTCCAAATGTAAAGGGTGGGCAGTTTCCAGTCTCACGAGTGTTCTTAATGGGATGGGAAACACTGGAGTGAAAGGTAGGGCATGGCCCACTTCAAGTCTATTGTGCAAGTAAGCTAAAAATAAAAACACCCTCATGTCCTTCGATGAGAAATCCAGGACCGTTCTCTTAGAGGTGCATATGTTGGTGCAGGACAGCGAGTCTTTATTTGCTTCTTATAAATTCCTGACCTTATTATGAAGGTATCCTTAGAAGACAGCAGGCTTCCATGAAAAAATATTTCATACCATTCCATTTAATAAAAAAAGACCAGTTTTCAATAAGGAAACAGGTCTGGGCTCTGCTCTTTACTGCCTGCAGTTACAATATCTTCATCTTTATTCATGTTCTAAAAAAACCCAACTGAAAGAAACAAAAACAAAAACAAAAAAAAAAGGAAAGTTGTTTTACTTCAGCAAACCTGGAATCTGTCTGTGACTCTCAGCATTTGTCCAATTGGATATTAATCCTTTCTATCTGTATCCCAGAAGAAAGCTGTATTTCTTGTGAACATCATTCTCCTTGCCAGTCAGTTTGGTCTCTCTCACTCCTGCCTGCTGTGGTAACCCAAGACTTTTGGGAGTGTCAAACATTTGTGACAGTCATACTAATGTGTGCAAGTTACTGAGGCAGCCGGTTGTATGAACTCGGGCTTGGTAACAGAGTACATGAGAAAAGTTTGCTCACCTTCTGTCTTTCCAAAATCAGGAGGTGTCAGTTTTCTCCTATGGACATCCAAATATATGGGTATCCTCAGAAGCCTCAGTCTTAATTCTAGCTATTTTAATACTGATTCTAAAAATCAGTGAAAAAGTTGAGAGATTCACAAAATGATGATGTGTACAAATGTCTGACTGTGGAGGAGCTGTACTAGAAATACACACATATATGGCCTGGATTTTTATCTAAAAACCTTTAAATAAGTCAAAACCTGGATATTTACAGGGGTTTCCAAAAGTTATATCTCAAGACTTCTGCCATTATTTTAGCCAGCTATGTTTTCTTACTTTGTAATACATTTTTATAATAGTTCCTGTACAGTTACAGATTAAATCTCATTGATGAACAGTTTTAAGCTGAAGGCTCAGCTTTGCAAGGAGTTACTCAAATTACATCTGAGTATTTCTCTGTACACAAAATAAGCATAAAAATAGCAATGAATTTGTCTTGGGGGAAGCTGTCATTGTCAGTTCTGCTCATGTCTGATTATGTACAGTTATAAACAGAGTAGTGTGCAGTCATACCTTAACTTGTGTGACTTCAAATGTCACCTTCACACGGCCCAGGGAGGAAAAAACACCATAAGAGAGTGCATTAAGATTGCAATACTGGTTAATACTGGTTAAAAATATCTTTGCCACATAATTAAGTGTGAATTTTTTAGGCAAGTAAAATGCGTATCTTCACTTCCAAAGATTTCTGACTAATTCAAAATCTGAATGTCCTGATTCAGATTTTTATTTTTCAAATAAAAGTACAAAAATTGAGTTTCTTTATGTTACTCTCACCCTGTTGGTGATAACAAAAGGTTTTGTTTATTCAGCTGAAAGGATGATCTTTCCCATGTCTGTCTCACTTTAAAAACTTAAAAGAGAAAACTTACTGAATAGTGGCTGTGGATCATCAGTTCATTGTAGGAGAGCAGCTACATTGATTAGAAATGCTGAAGAGGACTCTTATTGAAGAGAAATATGTCCATTCCCTAAAATATCTTTCACCCCTTTTCATTAAGAGCATTCAATTTAAGTACTGTCAGACATTCATAAATTCCTTAGGTAAACATTTTTAGTGGAGTCTCTCACCAGTCAGGAGATTGCCAGGAAAATGTATGGAAACTTCTGTATTTTCTAATGAAAGCTTGAAATGTGGGTTTGTTCTGCCTCCATAGCGTGATTAGAAAGTGATTTAATGTGCCATAAATGTTTGGTCAGTCAGACACAAATGAACATGATTGATGGTGACATTGCACACATTTAACTCATTATGTGTTACTTTACAGCAAAATTATTTGTGTAAACATTCTGCTCAGTGTTAGAAGTAAAACAAACTAAAAAACCTCAAAATTTTATATTTGTTCCTAATATTTTCCTTTTGGTTTTAGCAATGTAATATCATATGGAATCCTTTATATTCTTTTTGGCACCAAACTGAACAAAAAGGAAATCAGCTCAAAAAGATTAATGTTCTGTAAACACTTAAAGGCAGATTGCACCAAACTATATGCTAAGGAAAAAAAAAATTAAAAACTTCACACCTGTAAACTGTATTTTAAAAATCCAGTCTTCTTATAGTACAGACTGTTACTGTTGTATTCAAAAAGGAATTTGGACTCTTTATTTACTTGTGCAGTCTGAGAAAAAGATGGAAGTATTTTTCTGTACTGCAAATTCTGTATTGTTTGAATTAGCAAGTGCATACCAGAAGTCTGTCTATATGAAAAACATTGCAAAAACCAGATATATGGAGTAATAGGCAAAAGTGATTAAATTTTGTACAATCCTACAGGCCAATCCTACAGGCCAATCTACAACCTACAAGCCAAGTTAGTACTTTTGTGTAAATTAATAAAATGTGGAATGTGGTACTAGAGTGTAACACAAGTCCGCAGCCAAATTAGTTTTCCTTTGCTCCATAGGTAAGACAGCCAGTACTCCTCACTCCAGATATCAAAATTATCTAGAGCTGTCTCTATTATTCTCTAAGCTATTTTGAGAGCAGGAGTGTTTTGTGGGCTCTTTCAGCAGCTTTTGCTCACACCTACACGTATGCAAAGTCCACTTAACATTCCTTTCTAGTCCAGGCTGAAAGAGAGACATAATAAACCCACAGAGATTCCCATCATTTGGGTGCTTACCTACACTGATGGAACACATCAACTTGTTTGCTCTTTATTTTTGACCACCTAGGCAGCCTTGGAATATTCCAAGGTGTAGAACTGGAGAATGAACAGTGAATTCCTTGATGTGTAAGAGGGCTTTAAAAGGGGAGTTAGAAAGAAATGCAATGTTTCATTTTATTGTGAGGTTCTTCAGGAAACTGCATAATAAACTGATTACCTGATCCTACTCACAGGACCTAGATCAAATATTAAATATAGCCTGTTACCAAATACATTTTTCTTCAGAGATCATGTAAAGATCTTCCTGACTGTAGTGTTTTTAAATCATTGATCATAGGAATTAAAACCTATTGTGGTTTAAAACTGTTTGCTGTGTATACATAGTATCAGTACATGTGATAAGATGTATTTGTCTTGGACTAAAGTCTACCATGGGACTGCATTTTCAGTCAGTAATTTGAGCAGATCAACACCAGCCTATCCTTCACCTCATGATTAGATAAAAATCTTGCCCTGTATCTTTGAAACTAGTAGAAGTAGAGCCTGTATCCCTTTCAGTTCAAATCCAACAAGGCCAGCCAGAATCAAAAAAAGAATTGGATGTCATTATATTTCAAGGGTGCTCTCTCTGCTGTGACTCACTACAAAATTCTACATTGGTATTAATGGGGAAAAGTGCATAAATCTCATTTGAAATTAGAACTAATCTCAATTAGCATATTTGATGTTTTATAAAATATAGTATTTTTATACAATTTTAAAAATCATCCTTGTGTACAGAAAGCTGTGGAAATAGTTGACTGAGATTGTAAAGTCTTCATAATACTAAGGATATTTGTTAGCTTTGATTTCAACAGACAATGGAATTTAGTAAAGAAGTAGTTGATAATTTATAATAATTAAGGAAATACAATTATAAGACTGTAAATCTAAGAAGCTTCACTCTATAATATGACAATAAGAACTGCTTTCACCCAGTTACTTTTCTGTCAGATTTAGATATCCATATTCAAAGACATAACAAAACTAGACATTCACTCAAATGCTTTGGACTGAAAGGGCATTATAGATGAATAGGGGGAGATATTTTAGCTACATTGCTTTCACTGTACACATCCTTTTCAACTACCAATCAAGAATATTCAAGGTCATATTGAGTTAGGACAATGGCTTTAACTGGCAGAGGGCAGGATTGGATTAGGTATTAGGATGAAGCTGTTTACTGTGAGGGTGGTGAGGCACTGGAACAGGTTGCCCAAAGAAGTTGTGGTTGTCTCATACCTGGGAGTATCCAAGTTGGAAGGGGCTCTGAAGAGGCTGGCCTAGTGGAAGGAATCCCTTCCTACAGCTGTGGGGGGTGGAGTGAGATGGTCTTTAAGGTCCCTTCCAACCCAAATCATTGTATGGTTTCGTGGGTACTTTCTTTTCATTCTCATCTATATTGTTTGAGACAGAGAATTGTAACATTAAACATCCTCAAAGGCTTGTCCTGTTTTATGCTCTTTCCATGGTGGTGAAGAGCTGATCTTATTCAGTGCTGAGGAGCAGACTTGACATCTGCATTCACTGTGCTATAAAGGAATTGGGTATCCACCATCCTTTGCCTTGCAAACTGCAATGAAAAATCCTAGGTCACAACGCAACTCTAGCATTTGTTCTCTGTCTTGGTAGTGGTACGTAGATCTTGACAGAAGAGATTATATAGCATGATCAGGTTCAGATACACTCAATCTCTGTCATGTAACCATCATTACACTGAAAAGCAAATGCTGTGAGCAAGAGAGTTCTTTTGGAGCTACAGAGCTCCTGATAATTACACTGCTGGGTGTAGGGCTGGGTGTATTAAAGGTTTCCATTTGCTTCTGCCAATACTGATGGCTGTGCTTGCAAGAGCTACATCACTTTTTCATATCTCTGTCACTGTGTCTCACTAGGAATTTATTGTATTATGTAAATATATTTGGTAACAGTATTGTATCTATGTATAAGATGGAGGAGAGCAGAGGAGTATCATGACTTAAAAAAAGATTCAGATGAAAATTGCATTTCTTCTCTTGGATAGCACTATGCAATTTTCCAGCTATTCTTCATATAGGCTATTGAAGCAGTGGCTAATTTGTTTTATGACAGAATTGCAGTGTGACTTAGGGAGAGATAATAATGTTTTCAGTACTAGAGGGGAATCAGGAAGATACAGATTGAAGTTGTTTTGGTGGTATGGCCCATTCTGGATTGGTTCCATCAGTTACTTAAAATTAAAAGATCATCACAAAGGCTTAAAATAATGAAGGGCATGACTCCTAAAGTATTTTTCCTCACGAAAGGTACCAGGCAGGTGACCATCTTTCTCTTTGAAATAATTGGGAAAATGTCATGGTTCAGGTGGAGATAAAACAGAATGATCATCTTTAGTCAACTGTTGCAATAATCTTATAATAATATTTTATAACAAATATCAGCAATTCTTTAAATTCTATAATCAACATTTGTGGTATCCTAACAGGTCATATCTTGAACACTCCAATCACTTAATGAAGTCTCATGTAATGCTAACTGGTATCTGTAGAGGTTGATCATTGCTTTGGAAATGTTTGGTTTTTTCCAGTCCTTTCTTAGTCCTTGACTAAGGGTGAGTATTTAGCTATAGGCTGATCTGGAGTTCCTTCCTCCAAATCAAAACCATCTGCCTAAAGAAAAGAAAGCAAGGGAAGAAGGTGGAAAGAGAGATATGCAATGTATTTGTATATTTTTTTTCCAACCCCAGGTGGTGTCAATGTAAGAAAAAAACCACAAAATAGACCAAAAGTTACAAACATGCCCTTGCTATCATTACTCTTAGTTTTTTACCAAGCCTGGACTTTATCTCTCTTCTGTATATAGAGTTGCTGATCAGCAACATTTGCAAGTTTCCTATAAATAAAAGGGTCATAAAAAATGTGATATGGCTTCTCTGTGTGTGGTAGGGAATAACACAATGCAAATTCCTTTTACCATCCCACATGGCCTCTGAATGGTGAAACAGTTTCTGTGGAAGAAATTTCTCCTGATTGTTTGCAGCCCACTTGTCAGGCTATATATGATTTGGAACATCTCCATATTGCAGTTTTTTCTTTCAGTTGTTTACATCTCCAGAACTAAAGTAGCTGATTACTTGGCAGCCTGTCAGCAATAGGAGGGGGGAATAAAACAGCAACAACAAAAAACTAACCAGAAAACCAAAACCAACCAAACAAACAAAAAAGGCAAAACCCAAGCAAATAAAAAAAAACAAAAAACCCTAAACCCCACAACAACAACCGCAAAGAAAACAAACAAAAAAAAAAAAAAAAAAAAAGAGGAAAAAAGTAGTTGTAACTTACATTTCACCAGGCTTCTTAACAAGTTTCTATCCTCCTGTTCTTTAGAGCAATTTTTGAAAGAGTGCCTTTTGGCTAGTTCAACATGAGAAAAAGATTGATGAACCTCAAGTTAATCATCAGCCTGTGGCATAGAAACACAGACTTATCTAAAATTCCATATTGAGTCCTGTCAGAATATCTCTGGAATACTGAAATTTGAAAACTTGAAATTTTTTGGTCCAAGAGAATAATAGAATCACAGAATATTTTGAGTTTGAAGAGACTGACAAGGATCATTGAGTCTGACTCCTGATCCTGCTCAGGACACCCCCATGTGCCTGAGAGCATTGTCCAAACACTGCTTGAGCTCTGTCAGGCTGCTGCTGTGACCTCTGCCCTGGAGAGCTGTTTCAGTGCCCAGCCACCCTCTGGTGAAGAACCATATCCTGATATCCTTACCTCCCCAGAGGTATAGGCTGTTCAGCCTGGAGGAGAGAAGGTTGTGTGGAAACCCTGTAGAAATCTTCCAGTATCTGAAGGGGGCTGCAGAGAAGCCAGAAGGGGATTCTTTGTTAGGAAATGTAGTGACAGAACAAACAGTAGTAGGTTAAAACTTAGAGGAGAAATCTAGGCTAGATATTTGGAAGCAATTCTTTACTGTGAGAGTGGTTGAACACTGGACTAGGCTGCCCAGGGAGTTTGTGGATGTCCCAGTTTGGGCAGTGTTCAATGCCAGGTTGGATAAGGCCTTAAGCAACCTGGTCTAGTGAAAACTGTCCTTCCCATGGCAGGAAGGTGATCTTTAAGGTCCTTTCCAACCCTTAGCATTCTGTGATTTTATGATTTTTAAAAAGAGAATGTTGGGAAACTTTTTCCTCATGCTCTCTGCAACTTTATTTCACCCCATGCTCATTGTGCTTGACAAGAATTCGGTGTATTATTTTTACATATGATACTTGATTTACTGACTACAGGGACTCTGTTTTGGGTTTTTTTTCAGTATTCTAGCAAATCCCTTACAAATAAGCAATGTTAATTGGCATAACAGTGTACTAACTTATGTGTTAAAATCTGATTCGTGTTTAAGCAGTTGTTTGTAAGTTTCAAAGAAAGCTGTGATTTTTACACAGAACTCTGCATCTGTTTCTTTGCTTTTAGATTGAGGAGGATACGTGGCAGAAATACTACCTGGAAGGAGTTGCAAATGAAATGTATACAGAATATCTGTCTAGTGCCTTTGTGGGTTTGTCCTTCCCTGCAGTTTGTGAGTAAGTAGAAATACATTTAATATACAGGAGTATTTCCCTTCTTGCAAGAGAAATCTAATTTTTTTGCATAAGACCTTTTCACGCTGCTAAAGTCCTAACGTTGCTATGGTGTCTAATAAAATAAATATTAAAGCAATCACTGCATGGAAGTACCTGAAACATTTTAATGCCTGGATTCAGGAGAGATTTGTAATTAAGTGATTGTAAGTGAAAGCATAAATGGTTTTGGTTTTGAACAAACTCAAACGAATTTTTAAACTTGAATTTTTAAATTGAGTTATTTACTCACAAGCTATTTATTCTTGTTATTTTTCTAATCGTTCCCATTCTTTGAATAGTGGTGGTCAACATGACCACCTTGGCTTGTGTTCCATTCCAAGGAAACTATTCATTAATTTAAACAGATGTCATGGGGTCATATAAGCAGTGTGGCACCCAGAGCTTTGTGGAAGTGTTTGAAAACCACTTACAACAAGTAAAATATGTCAGAGAAGATATGTCTTTTCAATTATGAGAAAGAAGCACATAGTACCTAACCATAGTGTAAGCCATGTGACAGCTTCATTTCTGGACACTGAAAAATGCTTAGCCTAGAGTGAGTCTGTGAACGAGAGATTTGTATAATAAGTACTCTGTCCACATAATCAGGTTAGTTTAGCACACTCATATTTCCTCTTTGCTCTGTTCTTAGAGGAGGAAATAGATGGAGAAGTAAAATACAAGCTCTTATGTAAAGGAGGATGAGTATGCTTCTACTCCTCTAACTTCCCCAACTTTCCCAATTTTTGCAAGAGCAAAAAGATGGCATTAGAATGAGAGAGAAACAACTGTTAGACAAATATTATTCATTTAGAAATTGTCTGAGATGTAGCTGTGACAGAGCCCAGTCTTCAATTTGCTGGTAACGTTAAGGGGTTCTCAATCCACCCTTCTCCTGTGTCAGCCAAACTGTTGAGATTACTGAGGGGAAACATATTTCACTATAGGGACAAAAGTTTGTGTGGATTTCTTGAAACAGGATATCTCATAACAAAATGCAGGAAAGTGTATTATATTCAGAATGAATATAGTAGTTTGTGCTGTTAACACTAGCTACAATAATGAAAATTAAATCTCCATGCCAAACCATTTTCAAATGTGTCAAGTTTCTATATGAGTTTGTGGGAAGATGTGACTGAGACTGTATTTGACATAAAGCTGACATTCATTTATCTGTGCTGGTAGAATGGAGATAAAATAATCAATAAAGAAAGGGTGCTTATTGACATCTAGAAACATGTCTAAACTTTGGAGCTTTCCTCAAGCACTTTAATTAATGAGTTTAGTGCATAGGTATTCTCATTACTATAAGAATTGACTGCTCAATTTCCAGAAGAACCAAAGGACAGCAAAATGTCCATTGCATTGGTTTTCGAAGGGGAAATTGAATCAGTGGATAGTCTTAGTGTATTCAGCTATCTGTGAAATATATAGACTTTGAGAGCAGGTTTTGTAGTGTGGTTTTGAAAATTCATGCAGTCAATGACATTTTAAAAGTCTGAAATTAAATGAAATGTTCTGTTTCCTCAAGTTATTTGTCAAAAGTGCAAGTCTAGGAATGTGATTCTTTTGTAAATAGCCTGCCATACAGTCTGGATAACAAAATGTGTGCAGAGACAGTGAGGATGGGACACTCAATATAGCTGAAAAATTTCAAGCTTTTGATGTCTACACTAGGGTGAAGAATTAGAACCAGAAGTTAATATCAGTCTGCAAGTTCTATTTATAACTCCACGTGTGCGTACTGTGTGAACATATTCCAACCAATATATTTTCAAAATGTGAATGTAGTTCCTAATATTCTGTGCCCTTGGATACTGCTGGACCAGGCGTGGATGATGTTGATTGAAGATAAACTAACCAATCTGTCTCCCACTAGTGTGAAGCCTTCTAATATTTGGTAACATAAGGCTAACCTTCAGCCAGGTTCTAGGCCTACCACTCTCTGCCCCAGAATTCTCACAATGAGGGTGGCATATCTCTGCACTGACACTCGACCTAGCAGCCACCTGTCCACATGTGATGTTGGTTGTGACAAGGGACTGACTCCTGGCCTCTTCTCTCCCTGCAGACTGGTGTTTGCGAAACTGAAGCTCTTAATGATAGCCATAGAATACAAGTCGGAGAAGCGCGAAAGCAGGTACGTCCTGCGCCGCCAGCTTCGGAAGTTCTCGAATGCACTGGCAAGAATTTTGCTTGCTTTTTTTTCATTCAGAATGAACATGTCTATTCTTTGAAACATTTCAGAATGTAATTAGCATGCTATCGCATTGCAGCATCTCACATAGGACTGAAAGGGACTTATTTCTGCCCTCTTCCTCCCTAAAACCAACCCAAGTCAGAATGTGTAGTAAAAAGTGCAGTAGTACATGTGTCTGATCTCCAGGAGTGATTTTACTTACAGAAAAGCTTACAATTTTTGTGTTTACAGCATATCACTTCTAATCAGAGGTCCAGCATACACTACTGAAAATAGAAAAGTGGAAAACAGATGTGATATCAAAATTCATTATAGCTATGTGTATTTTCAAAATACAAATTTCATTTAAATTAGTTTAAGAGAACCAATTTAGATACAATCCAGGATAAACAAATATAGGATAAACATAATATTTATATCTGTTCTGACAAAACTTACATGAATAACATCATGAAACTGGAAAAGATTAATTTAGCCTTAAAATTACAAATTGGCTGGCTATTTTTGTTAACCAAAAAGAAAAAAAAATCATTATTTTTAGTACAGATTCACAGATGGGAAGTGTTTCTTGCATTTTTGCTTTTGTGCAAAGGTTCATAGAAACATGACTGAACAATTGAGCCAGTCTTCCATCAACTTGTCCATTAATGCTTTAAACAATATTTATTTTTATGTAACAAAAATATTATAAAGGTTCTCTGCAACATGTGGAGGTCATATAAAAAAGTACGATCATATGACTTTGAGAGGAATTTGACTTCCCTCTTTCACAATTACATTTTGTACTGCTGTAGTAAACCTGAAGTGATACATACTAGTTCATCTCCTTTTTGGCCAATAATTACTTTTTTGTGGCCAAAGGGCGTTTTTGACGAAAACAGCTTCTTCTCACAGGAGAACCCATTCTATGAATTGAACTTATTCTAAATTTCCTGGGGTTTTGAAAGTTTAATACTTAGTAGTAACTTTCATAATTTTTCTTTATTAAAAGAGTCTTTGAAACCTGTGTTAGACATTTGACATAGAAAAGCAGTGTTACAGCTATTTATGAGTATTTCCATGCTCTATAGTTATTTTGCTGGAGTCTTCTGTATGTTATAAAATGAAATGTGAAGTGGTGATGTACTACTGGATATCATTTTTGTTCATGCTATGCTGATTAAGAAATTCTTTTTTTTTTTAATGATCAGATTTTTTTATGCTGTATTAAGGTCCTTCGGACTCTTAAATTACTTAAATTGAAAGATCTCTTTCTGCATCAGCTAATGTAAAGTAAACAATCTATTCTTCTGTCTATGAACAATTTAATCTCTTGCTAGAAAAAGGAAAAATACAATAGCAACAGCAGTGGAACAATTTACCAGATTTTGTGCCTTCAGTATTAAGAAATATTTGGTTTCTCTTTTTCTCGTAACAAATACTGGCCAACTTTATATTGCCATTACTTCAGTTGTCATTTACTTACATAAGTGCTAATATTGCAGTCTTTTACAGTAATAACAGATTGTTCTTGGCTTCCATATCATTCTTTGCATTAAATTCAGTGGGAGTTGGATTGAGTTCTTAATCAAAAGGTGATGCAGAGGATCCCACAAAAAGTAAAACAGTGTGGTACAATCATATATTTCTTACTTAAAGCCACACAGGTAACAGTTTGAAATAATTATTATAGTAGGGGAAAAAAAAGCCTAAAATTGCTGGAAGCAATGCTAACAAAGAGATATTAACAGCTGGATTTGTTAAATATGTATGTAGCAAGAGGAAGGCATGTAAGGTAGATAGTCACATTTTCTTATAACACTGATCCACAGCAATATCTGCTGATTTTATTAAGCAGTGATAATTTTCTAGTAACTGTTTGGTCAATCACAGAGCTACCTGCGGCATATCTTTACTGCTCTACTTGTTCCTGTGCTCTTCAACTCTAATATGTTAACTAGACATTTGTGGTTTACTGATCCTTTAGTCAAACCAGAAGGGTAATGCAACAAAACTTCAGTTTCTCACCTCCTAGGTATGCTTGCATTTCCATGCATCTTATTAAATTAAAAAGTGAATAATTAAAATAAAAATTAGAGTAACGTAGTTTTGAAGCACAAACTCTTTTTGAAAAATGTAAATTTGTCATTTGTCACTTATGTTTGTTGATGCTGATATTGGAAATATTTTATTCCGCTCATATCCAAATTTCTTCCTGGTAATTCTTCATAAAGGTGAAGTGAGAATTGACTATGGATGTTCTTTTAAGCTTTCAGTCTTTATGAGAGTGACAAAAAGTAGATACATGCTAATTTATTTTATAAATATATTTTGCATTCACATTTTGTAGAACTATTATGGAAGAAGTTTTATATAATTTAAAATTTAGAGAAACAATGTTAAATATAACTAAAAATTTAAAACATCATGTAGATGGCACCCTTTCATTAAGAGTTAATACTTACTGCCATAGCTGAGAGAGGTCTCAAAACAGTATTTTAAGAGGCAGAGGAAATTTTCAAAGCATTCTTTCTACTTAAAGGATGACAAGCTCTTACTTCCAACTTACTCTTTAATTTTTGTTGCTAGTCATAATAAAATGTCTATATCATTAAATCATATGTCAGATTTGTTACTTACACAGGGAGTTTCTGTTAAGATTAGTTTCATTTGCCTTTGCACTCAGAGCTAAAGCAGTGAATAAGATTCAGGACTGTATGCAGCTCTAAACAGTAGTAATTTAAGGGTATTCTAAATTTCCTAACCCCTTCTCTAAATTTTCAAAATTTAAATCTTTAAAGGCAGTCTGAAGGATAAATACTAGTCCCATCCCATTGAATGGCAGACTTTTATTTGTCTATTAATATGTTCATTGGATGTAGAATGGCATAAATACTAATTTACCTCTGCACGGTTTTTTTTGTCCAGGCAGCCACCTGGATTCTAGTTTTCTAAATCTTTCTGATTTACAGTCAAATTCTGTTAACTCTACTGTAGGGAATTTGAAATCAATAGTACTTAAAAATTATCAGAACTCTATCCAAGCTAATATTGCTGTAAATGTTAGTGACAGCTGAGCTTCCTGCCTACAGATGTTTTCTTCCTTTTTTCCTGACTACTAATAAAGCTACACAAAACAGAAAGCAGGCCTTGATAACAAGTTTTCGTAGTTTAGGTAGGTAATTAATAACAATTATCATTTTACAGAATTGCTTAAATACAATATTCAAGCCTACATATAAGTAATGTAGTTATAAAATGATAAATGCATATTAGTTTTCATATCATGGATAGAGTATCTAGAGTATGCTTCTAGTGTTATACAACTGCTTCTCATCAAGGTATCTTAAAGATTCATTAAAAAAAAATTATTAGATTTCTTTTAACCTTTTCTTTTATATATTTGATAATATTTAAATTATTTGTCAGCTATCAAAGAAATCCCTGAATTTACAAAACTCAATTTAGAGTTTCTGACCAGCTATTAAAGTCTGCTCTCTAGTAACTCCAGCTCACGATATGAGTTTACCATTGCTTCATCTCTAATTGCTTTCTGGGAGTGTTATAACCTGTGATTAAGAACAGGAAGCACTTAAATTATTTTTTGTCTCCCTGATGCAAGCCAAATACCATCACTTAAAAGATGTTCTTAGCTTATTTGGAGAGGTTTTGCTTTTTCTGTAAAAAAATGCAAAGGAAACATGGAGAACATGAACCTGAAAATATCCCAGTGTTAAATATATAGCAAAAAATAACAGTTCAAAATTCAGACATTCAAACTCCTCATCTGAAATCCATTTTAGAGAGATTTTTGCCTTCCTTTTCCCCTTGTATTTTTATTCCACATAATTAAGCAAGAAGGAAAGCCTAACCAGGATTCTTCCCTCCTGCTCCCCATTTATACTCCGCTTGTAAAATTTTCTCTTTGTCTATCCATATATTTGTTCTCATTCTCAGCAGAAAAACCTTTAAGCCTTGAAGACTTTTAAATAAAGGGTTTTTTTGCTTTTGCTTTGGTGTCAGTTTGATTTATTATCAAAGTGTTTGATTTGCAATTTTTTTCTTGTCGTTTGCAGAAGCCGAAAGCGGTATGCCCTCTTCGTTACCTTTCCTTCCAACCTCAATCCTACCTTCACTCCTTCTAACTTCAGGACTAATTCCTTGCCAAGAACACAGGAAGATAACATCTTTGTCTATCTTTCTCTGTATATACACACACATATATATCTATATATATATTCATCTATCTATGTGTGTGTGTATATATATCTCTGTGTATATATTTATATATGAGCCCCCAATCTCAAAGAGGAGAGAGAGAACAGCATTTTGTCTCTCCAGTGTTTCTTGTGACTCACGCACTAACTTCTTTGCAGGAAGTACAAAATAAAACAGGATTCATTTTTTAGGCTTTTTGTCCCCTTTGTGGAGTCATTGGTGTATCAGACTGTCGCATTTGAAAAGCAGATTTCATTGTTAATATCTCCTGTCCTCATTTTGGTTGTATCATGACGATGTATATTTCGTCTTTACCAGCTCTTGTGCTGCCATGTTGGTTTCATATTCACACCTTCATTGATGTCCTTCTTTCCCCAGAGTCTTCCTTTAAAACACGTCTTACAATACAGTAGTTCATGTTCTCTTGCAGTCTCATTTTCCATTAACAGCAACCAAATACCTGATTCTTTGCATTTCTGGTCCTGTTTTGAGCCCAGTTACTCATAAAGCAGTACTCATTAAAGTTTTTGTACTGTTCCAGTGAAAGTGCCATGGGTAGTTTGTATATGTCGCATTCATTTTAATGACATTTATTAACTCATTTATGAAGATGTTACGGAGTGTATTTTTTTTCTCAACTTTGTAGTTTATTTTTGAGATGGCATGTTTTGCATTTTCTTTGGTATACCATGCTGTGAGTCCCTCTCTAGTCTACATTTTATCGTGCTGCTGTTGGTTTGGAT